GACACGGGTTCAAGTGGTTTGTTATTGGTGTATTGAAATTGCCCCAGCCGATGTCGCCTGTAGAGGCTCATGCTGCGTCGGTTGAAGTGGCCCTAAGACAGGCGTTCTTATTTGGACACGCGTGTATGTGCTGTTGCGTGCGCAAGTGTGTGCGTGACTGAATAAGCTGAGGTCAACTGTGGGGACCGCCGGAACGCCGAAGGACAGGGAACACTGGCGCAGCCGTTATTGGTTAGCCAAAAGCCACTGCGAGATCAAGCCTCAAAGGACGGAGGCGCCAGTGAAAGGAAGCATAGGAACAGTTACTTGTGACGACGCATGACTTTGGGGCAGCGAGCATTGTAGAACGAAGAGTGGGAAAGCATTGTTGGCCTTCCCCTACAACACACCCAAGGTGAGTGTTACCTACCTTTTGACTTGCACTGCATTTGTGTGTGTGTGACATGCCTTGGACTACGAAAGCAGCTGCCACGGTACCCACTGCGCTCGCGCTCATCACCCATTGGCTGACGGGCTCAGACAACTCACTGTTGTTGCATGCAAGAGGAAAACTAAATTGAGTCGGTAGAATCCTACTTTGGATCCCAGATCAGCACGCGAAAGCCCCATCCTTCGGTAACACAGGACCGGATGTAATTAAGACTATCCAGTCTGCGAAATACAAAAGAAAGGAAATATAAATGGAAAAAGGAATAAAGTTTATAAAAGTAGAAAAAACAGGAAGAATTATTTAAATAATCTAATGTTTGTCAACAAAAAATACCGCGCCATAATTAAAATGCGCAATTATGCAAATATTGGGCTATAAAAAATTTAAAAAATGACTTACTAAAACGAAAATTAACCAACTAAAAACGTAAAATAAAGTAAGCTCAACTTGCTTAAAAAAATCTTAAAATAAAATAAAAAAGTAAACATAATTATGAACTGAAAACTGAAATTAAATAAAAATAAGTTAAATAAGCCAAATAAAATAACGTACAGTTGTTGCGCGTGTTAATTGAAAGTGTGTGCGGCGCTACGCGCTGCGAACCATACTAATATAACTCCAGAACGTTAAGTTTGACCTTGGGTACGTTGAAATTGTTATAACGGATGCCCAGGTCGAGATATTGCCGCCCAACGACGTCCTGTGTGAGTCCCCAAAGAGAGAACACGACAAGAAGGGTGCAAAGGCAAAAGTCTTTTTGTGTTTAAGGTACAAACAATTTAGGTAAAACAACGTGTGTAACGATGTCCATTGAGCCAATCAGATTTCCCTCTGAGATGGTGACCAGTCCCATTGGTTGTTTG